TCATCCCCCGCGCCGCACTCCACTCGCATTACCTCCTCCTGACAACCCACCGCACCGCGATTCATGGGACACCATCGATTGGGGCAACGAGCCGTCAACGCCACGCCGCACTGCCTACGGACCCGCTCCCGAACCACGCGAACCCATATTCGTTCCCGGAACCATCCCTGGAACCAACATTCCACTCTCTGAGATCCGTGACAGAGAATTCCTGGCGCTGATGTTGACTACCGCTGATGACGAAGAAGAGACAGCAGCGGAACCTGCCCCCATACCCGACGAAGACCCCGAAGAAGCTCGCGCGCGCTACATGCGCACCTCCGGCTGTCGCGCTGACGATGCACTCTGGCATCAGTGCCTCAGACATCCTTCACGCGCGACGCTGAAAAACTGCATCGACGCAGGCGTCTTCACTCCAGGAGTGCTCCTGCGCCCAGATGGCACAGAAGTGAGGGGCGCAACACACCCTTGAAAGTGCACCGCCTGCCCCGAAGCCGCACTGAGCCACCAACCGTTCCCACTGCTCGAACCAGGGACGAACCGCTACCCAAAGCTGCACAAGGTGTACAACAATTTCCTGAACGTGGGGCACTGCGGAGTCGACGACGAGATGTACATGCTTACCTTCATCGATGCCGGGACGCGCTATGTGTGGGTCGCGAACGTTGAAACACGTGATAGAGCCTATGAGGTGTTCCGCCTCTGGCTTGCGCACGCACAACGGCAATCCGGGAAGAAGATGAAAATATGGCAATCTGACGGCGCAAAGGAATTCAGGAGCAATCAGCTGCAGAGTTACCTCGTGCAAAAGGGGATCGAACACCATATCTCTCTCCCTTACGCACACCAACAACAGGGCGAAGCTGAGCGGACGAACCGCACGCTGATGACGAAGGTGCGGGCGCTAATGAAGCAGTCGAAACTACCGACGGCTTACTGGACCTACGAGATGCACCACGCTGTGCGGGTGCACAACCTGCTTTCATCCACCGCCATCACCGGCAACCTGTCCTCACATGTAAAGTGGACCGGGACCAAGGGAGATACGCCCATGCTCTGCGTGTAGGGGTGCATGGTCCAATACCGCCCGCCAACGTCAACCATCGGCAAATTCGCCAGCCGCACACGATGGGGCATTCACCTCGGCATCAACCACGAGCACAAGGCGTGGATCGTGCTGGACCTGCTCAGTAAAAAAACCACCCACGCTCGCGACGTGATCTTCTACGAATGCCTCTTCCTCGACCAGTTCCGCCACGACGAGCAAATGAATGCGAACCGCGTTTACGCAAACAACGGGCACAGCTATGCAACACCCGACGATGAAGCTGCGGCGGCAATTCTGGAGCAGGACACCAAGGGCGAATTCACATGGAGGAGAGATCGTAGCAGCGATGACGACGATGACAACAATTCCCCTGGAAGAGGAATGGGCGGAACAGGCGGAAGCGGCAGTGGCGCAACACCACTTGCACCACCTGAACCAGAGAGCGATGACGATGATGTGCAGGAAGTCATCTCGCAACGTCGTCACGACAGCACCATCTCAGGATTGCAGCTGCTCGAGCTCCACAACGCAACCTCGAAGTCGCCACGCGTGATCGAGCCACGAAACCCGCGCCAAGCTCTCACTAGACATCACAGCAAAGAATGGCGAGAGGCGATGGACGCAGAAATCAAGGCGCTCGAATCCCGAGACACCTGGGTGTTAGTCGACCGTGCGGCAGTCAAAGGCGCAAGAGTCTTCTCAGGCAAATGGGTCTTTTGGGTGAAGACCACAGCGGACGGAACGATCGAGCGCTTCAAGGCACGCTGAGTGGTACGGGGATACGACCAGAGGCATGGCATCGACTTCGACCAGACGTTCGCCCCAGTCAGCCGCCACACCTCCATCCGAATCCTGCTCGCCATCGCAGCTGCAAGGCATCTACCTTTCCGCCAGATTGACGTCAAGAATACGTTCTTGTATGCATTAGTAGACGCCGTGATTTACGTGGAGCAGCCGCACACATACGGCGAAGGAGATTCGCGCGTATGCCAGCTGCGCAAGTCCTTGTACGGGATAAAGCGGGCACCAAGGCTTTGGCAGCAGTACATGCACAACATCTTCCTTGAAATCGGGTTCAAGCAGATGCCGCACGACCCGGGAATGTACCGCCGTGATTTCCGCGGCGAATACATTCTCCTCATGGTCTACGTCGACGACCTGCGTTACACGGGCTCAAGCAACGAGTTGCTCGAGCAGTTCAAGAAAAGCCTGGCGAAGCTCGTCGACATCACGTGTAACTACGAGGTGAAGCAGTTCTTAGGCCTCGACATCTCCTACACACCTGAGGCAATTCACCTCTCAGCGGCTAAGTACGCAGAGGAGTTGGGGAAACGGTTCAACATCTCGCCTGCACCGCTCTCAACTCCCTATTGAACTCCAGGACCGAACCACAAACTTGACAACAAAGCCCTGTCCCCTACTGGAGTTCAGACTTACCAACAGCAGCTGGGATGCCTGCTCTTTGCCTCTGTCACATGTAGGCCTGATCTTTCCTCCATCGCAAGTCAGCTGGCCCAGTAGTCACGCAAGCCAACGGCTGAAAATCTTCTGGACCTGCAGTGCGCCCTACAGTTCTTCGTTGCAACGCCCAAGATTGGGTTGTGCTACTCGACTACATCAACCGCATCTTTCAACCTGATCGGCTACGTGGACGTCGGTCACGCAGCAGATCCCGAAAATCGACGGTCCAGGACTGGCTTCCTGTTCCGACTCGAACCGACGGGACCAATCTCCTAGAACTCACAGAAGCAGGAGCTGGTTGCCTTGTCATCAGCCGAAGCGGAATTCATCGCAGCAACCGCAGCAGTTCGCGAAGGCCTCTACCTACAGGAACTTCAAGAGGAAGCAAAAATTCCAGCCTCGCCTACCTTTCGCCTCCACTGCGACAACCAGAGTGCGATTCGCATTGCGAACAAACCTGGTTTCGTCAACCGCACCAAACACATTGCGCTGCGGTACTTCTTCGTGAAGGACGAAGTGGACAAGGGCAAGGTTGACTTGACCTATTGCCCGACCGGTGACATGGCAGCAGATTTCCTCACCAAGCGACAGCCACGCCAGCAGTACCAACACTGCTCCGAACTCAGCGGCGTGGTCAAGCAGGTCAAGTCGAGCTACGGCCAGGAGTGAAGGGGGGTGTTACGAATAGCAACAAATGAAGATTGCAATGCACTCCCAACCGCAGCTAAAGAAGCATGCATTATCGAGAACGAATGTGAAGAGTCAGACTTGACTCGAAACGACAGACGGTTGATGCATCCGGACCGTCGGAGCAGACGACATCGGGCAGCTGCATGCAGGAGGATCTTGGCGGGAACAGTTTCGTAACTGTATGCGCCGGACGGTTGAATTCGAATAAGAGAATGTACCCCTTAGAGTACATGGCTAGATAGGACGATTCAGATTCCTTTGTACTCATATTTATATCGTTCTATTTGCATGTTTTTATCATCTCAAGCATTTTACATTCACTCTGCTATTGAGATCACGGGCCCACCACCACTAGACTAAAGTGTGCGAACCTTCCTGAGGTGAACCTGGCAACGATCATCGTTTGATCGCAACAAAATGTATCTGCCTGCATCGGTCTAGATCTGACGGCTGCTAGTGTCACTTCGATTCTTCTGACTCCTCGACTTCGTACTCGGTAGAGTCGGCTCCTACAGCATATTTGACTTTGTAACATGGTATGAGAGCTACTTAGGGATTCTTTGCAACAACACTTCCATAAAATTCGCCGAACCAAGATCTGGCGAGCGGCACACGCTCCAAGATCAAGATGGCCGGAGGATCCAGAGGCAAAATGAATCTGAGGGCCGAAGGACAAACCAACCAGGGCCCAAAATTAGTTTATGCCTACTCTTACAAATCAGGGTTCCAGCCCCTCCTTGTCAAACTTATATGATCTAACCTGTGTAGGTTATAGCGGGTTAGATACTAAGGGGTACACAATTCTAGGGTTTCATATTTGTATCACTTTCATTCCTTAGTCATTCATTCTCGTTCTAAGTTCCTCATGGTATCGAGCAGGTTCCCTCGTGGGAACTGTTCCTAGGGCCCACCAATTTTTTTTTTTCCTACCCGGGGCGCGTGCCGCCCCTGCCCGAAACACACCCAATGTCCCGCCCTTAGCGACCCGTCGCGCCCTCCTTAGCGGCCCCTTAGGCCCCGTCGCTGCCCTCTCTCGGCCCCGCGTAGCCCCTTAGCGGCCCCGTCGCCGCCCTCTCTCGGCCCTGCGTGGCCCCTTAGCGGCCTTGTCGCCGCCCCTTACGGCCCCGACGCCGCCCCTTACGGCCCCGTCGCCGCCCCTTACGGCCCCGTCGCCGCCCCTTACGGCCCCGTCGCCGCTCCTTACGGCCCCGTTGCCGCCGAACCGCGACCCCGTAACCGCCCTTAGCGGCCCCGTCGCCCTCCCCCCCTCGCCCTCGTCGCCGCCCTTCAGCGGCCACGTCGCCGCCCCTTCAGCGGCCCCGTCGCCGCCCTTCAGCGGCCCCATTGCCGCCCTTCCGCGGCCCCGTCACCGCCCTTCCGCGGCCTCGTCGCCGCCCTTCAGCGGCCCCGTCGCCGCCCCTCAGCGGCCCGGTCGCCGCCCTTCAGCGGCCCCGTTGCCGCCCCTTACGGCCCCGTCGCCGCCCTTAGCGGCCCTGCCGCCCTTCCGCGGCCCCGTCGCCGCCCTTCCTCGGCCCCTCCGCCGCCCTTCCCGGCCCCGCCGTGCAGCCGAGCCGCCGTCACCGCCGAGCCGCCGAGCTACCGAGCCGCCTTTGCCACCGAGCCGCCTTTGCCGCCGAGCCGCCGAGCCGCCACGCCGCCGCAACCGAGACACCACCGTCACTGCAGTCGCGGCCCTGTCCCTGCCGGCCTGCCTCGGACCGCCTCACCTGCCTGGTAAGAGCAGCGCCTCTACCACTGCACTGCCCTACCCCGCTGAACTCACTGCTAGTCTACTGCTGTCATGGCTACCCCGAATGTTCTCACCTTTGACGCTGAGGGTCGGGCTGTTGACTTTGAGGTCTAGGTAGATGATCTGCAGCTTTTCCTCCAATGCGATAGGGCAGACGGTTTCTCCCTGTTTGAACCCAAGTCTGGTGCCTCTCCTGCCCCTGCTGCTGATGGTGACGCCACTATTCGCTCGCAGTGGGCCACGCGCGATGCCGCTGCACGCCTTGCTGTGCGCCGCCACTTACCGACCGCTGAGCGCGCGCATTTTAGTCAGTACAAGAGTGCTAAGACCTTGTACGACGCTGTAGTTGCACGCTACTCTTCCCCTGCCACTGCTGCCCTTAGCCGCCTCATACTGCCGTACCTCTTCCCTGACCTCGCCGCTTTTCCCACAGTCGCTGACCTCATTACGCTCCTTTGCACTAGTGACATTCGCTACCGCGCTGCGCTTCCTGCTGAGTTCTGTGCCAAGAACCCCCCCCTTATGTACATCACCCTCTACTACATAGTCACTCGGCTCCCTGACACCCTTCGCTCGGTCAGGGACCACTTCCTCTCTGTTTGCCCCACCACTCTCACCGTTGACCTCCTCGAGGAGCGCCTCCTAGCAGCAGAGAAGAGTATAGTCGCTATAGGAGCCTCTCGTGTTGACCCTCGTACCCCCGTCTTTGAGGGGTGCTCCCCCTCCCCCCTCTTGCCCTCTGTTGCCTCTGCTGCTGCGGCCGACCTCGTTGGTCTTGAGTCGGTCGGCGCGGCGTCTGCCCCTAGCGGGAGACGCCGCACCGGCAAGGGCAAGGGGGGCAAGGGCGCTGGAGGAGCTGGCGGGGGCGGTGGAGGCGGCGGTGGAGGCGGCGGAGGGGGTGGGGGTGGCGGTGGGAGTGGTGGCGGGGGTGGGGGCTCTAGTGGCGGCAGTGGAGGCGGCAGTGGTGGCGGTGCGAGCAGAGGTGGCGGATGTGGAGGCGGTGGTGGAGGTAGCGGCGACGGAGTTGGAGCTGGTCGGGGCGGCTCTGCGCAGCGGGTCGGCTCCGGTGGTGGTCAGCGCCAGCAGCAGCAGCAGCGCACTCGTAAGACCCCGTCCCCCCAGCAGCTTCGTGAGTGGTACACTGCGCGTCAGCGGGGTGGGGGTGCTGGCCCCTGTACCTACGTCCTACGTCCTGCAGGCGCAGACCACCACCAGAGCCACTCCTCTGCGCAGAGCCGCGACCAGCTCCACCGCCACCTCCGCCGCCTCCACCACCTCCGCCGCCTCCGCCACCGCCGCTGCCTCCGCTCCCTCCGCCACCACCGCCGCCTCCTTCGCCTCCACTGTTGCCACCGACACCTCCACCCCCGCCACCACTCCCACCACCACCCCCACCCCCTCCACTGCCTCCACCACCACCTCCACCGCCCCCACTGGCCCCCCCAGCGCCCTTGCCCTCCTTGCCCTTGCTGGTGCGGCGCTTCCCGCTAGGGACAGACGCAGCGCCGACCGAATCGAAGCCAACGAGTTCGGCCGCAGCAGCAGAAGCAACAGAGGGCAAGATGGGGGAGGGAGAACACCCCTCAAAGACGGGGGTGCGAGGTCACCACGAGAGGCTCCTACAGCGACTATGCTCTTCTCTGCTGCTAGAAGGTGCTCCTCGAGGAGGTCAACGGTGAGTGTGGTGGGGCAAACTGAGAGGAAGTGGTCCCTGACTAAGTGAAGGGAGTCAGGGAGCCGGGTGACTATGTAGTAGAGGGTGATGTACATGTGGGGGGGGGGTTCTTGGCACAAAACTCAGCGGGAAGCGCAGCGCGGTAGCGAGTGTCACTAGTGCGAAGGTGCGTAATGAGGTCAGCGATTGTGGGAAAGGCAGCAAGGTCAGGGGACAGGTACGGTAGCATGATGCGGCTAAGCGCAGCAGTGGCAGGGGAAGAGTAGCGTGCAACTACAGCGTCGTACAAGGTCTTAGCACTCTTGTACTGGCTAAAGTGCGCACGCTCAGTGGTCGGTAAGTGGCGACGCACAGCAAGACGTGCAGCAGCATCGCGCGTGGCCCACTGTGAGCGAACAGTGCTGTCAGCAGTAGCAGGCGGGGCAGGATAGACACCAGAGGTGAGATCGAACAGTGAGAGTCCGTCCGCCCTATCGCACTGTAAGAACAGCTGGAGGTCATCGACCCAGACCTCAAAGTCAACAGCACGGCCCTCAGTATCAAAGGTAAGGACACTGGGGGTAGCCATGACTGCAGTGGTCTATCAGGGAGTGAGCTCACCAGTCCAGGGAAGTAGGGCCCGGGCGCGCCGGAAGGAAGGGCGGCTCGGCGGCTCGGCTGGTGGGCGGCTCGGCGGCGCGGCTGCTGGGCGGCGCGGCGGCTCGGCGGCTCGGCTGCAGGGCAGCTGGGCGGCTGGGCGGCTGGGCGGCTCGGCTGCTGGGCGTCTGGGCGGCTGGGCGGCTCGGCAGCTCGGCTGCTGGGCGGCGCGGCGGTTCGGCGGCTTGGCTGCTGGGCGGCTCGGCGGCTCAGTTGTTGGGCAGCTCGGCGGCTCGGTTGTCGGGCGCCTCGGCTGCTGGGCTGCTGGCGGCGTTGAAGGTGCCGGTAGAGACGGCGACGGGGCCGTGAAGGGGCGGCGACGGGGCCGCTGAGGGCGGCGACTGGGCGGCTAGGGTCGGCGACGGGGCCGGTCGGGCGGCGACGGGGCCGGTTGGGTCGGCGACGGGGCCACTTAGGGCGGCGACGGGGCCGGTAGGGTCGGCGACGGGGCCGCTTAGGGTGGCGACGGGGCCGGCAGGGCGGCGACGGGGCCGCTTAGGGTGGCGACGGGGCCGGCAGGGCAGCAACGGGGCCGCAAGGGTCGGCGTCGGGGCCGATTGGGCGGCGACGAGGCCGCGTAGGGCGGCGACGGGGCCGCAAGGGTCGGCGACGGGGCCGATAGGGCGGCGACGGGGCCCCTTAGGGCGGCGACAGGGCCGTAAGGGTCGGCGACGGGGCCAATAGGGCGGCGACGGGGACGCTTGGACCGGCTACGGGGCCGCTAGGGTCGGCGACGGGGCCGGCAGGGCGGCGACGGGGCCACTAGGGTCGGCTACGGGGCCGCTAGGGTCGGCAACGGGGCCGTGAGAGGGGCCGCGAGGGGCCGCGAAAGGGGCCGCTAGGGGCCTGAGGAGGGCGCGACGGACCGCTAAGGGCTAGGGACGCGACGGGAGGGAGGGCACACGGGGCGCAACTCGGGCAGGAGAAAAGCGCGCTCCGTGCAGAAATTGTTTTTAGTGGTGGGCCCTTAGGAAGCGTTCCCAGTAGGGAACCTGCTCTATACCATGTGAGAATCTGAGTAAGGAATGATTGCATTGAGCAGCATGAGGAGTACAAGCAGGAAACCCTTAAGTGTTGTACCCCATATTGACTACCCCACTACAGCCTAAACAGACTATAGCATATAAGTTCGACACTTCGTCCTGCCAGTCGCCCTACTTTCCCTTGCCGGTCGCCTTACTTTCCCTTGCCCGTCGCCCTACTTTCCCTTGCCGGTCGCCCTACTCTCCCTCCCATTGCCTTCCTCGTCGCCCACGCGTCCCCAGCCGTCACCCTCACTTCTCATCCCGTCGCCTTCACTCGCTTCGCTTCCCCATCGCCCTCGCTTCTCATCCCATCGCCTTGCCCATCCTCCTAGCTTCCCCTGCCAGTCGCCGCTCCCCACCGCCCTCGCTCCCCCCTACTGTTTCCCTCGCTCCCCCCTGCTGTTTCCCTCGCTCCCCCCTGCTGTTTCCCTCGCTTCCCCCTCCTGTTTCCCTCGCTTCCCCCTGCTGTTTCCCTAGCTTCCCCATCCGTCGCCTCCTCGTCGCCCTCGCTGCCCCTCCCATGATCGCCTTCCCCGTCGCCCTTTCGCTCACCGTCGCCTTCGCTTCGGCTTCCTGTCCCAATGCCTCACTTGCTCCCACGCCTGCCCTTCTTCCCCCCAATTACCGCCTTCTTCCTTCCCAATCTAGTCTTCCGCTCTACCTATCTCCCTCCTTCCTTCCCTCCCCCATCCCCTCCTTAATCCCTCTCTCCTTCCTTCCCGCACCCTCTCCCCTTCATTTCCTATATACCTTTTTTTTTTTTTTTTTTTTTCATTCCCACTATATCCTTCCCTCCTTCACTTTCTGCCCACAAACCTTCCTCCATCCCCTAATTTTTCTCCCTCATCCCCCCTACTACTTACTTTGTTCTCACCCCCGACTTGCTCCCTTGTCTACCTCACCCCACTTACCTCTTTCCATCTCCTGATTTACCCCCACATTCCCCCCACCTACCTCTCTCCGCACTTAGCTAACCCCCCACATTCCCCCCAAGCACCTCCCTCCACCCCTTGGTTAACCCCCCTCATACTCACCTCCCTCCGCCTCCCAATTCACCAAACAACCACGTTCGTCTACCTCTACCTCTAACCCGCCTCCCTTCTGTTATAGTCACAGTCGGCTCCAATGTGCCTAAAACGAAAGATAGAGTGCACAGTCGGATTTCTGCACAGCGGCTTCAAACGTTCATAGCGTTCTGGTCACAGCTTCAAATGACTTGATTCAACTTGGAGCTGGAGCGTCTTATTGTCCCCTACACTAGGCAAATTAGATCGCACGATTTGATCAAGTATTGACGACACAGCGTTGGTTTGAACGAACGGCACTATGGCAGCCACTATAGTCTTAGAACATAAGATAGGAAGAGTTAGGAAGAGTTACGAGTTGGGAATGACTCCCAGCTCCTACAAACCCCAAGAGCCGAGGTACAGTGATGTGGAACAGTGCCACATTGTCCCCAACCACGAAGGGTCTTGAAACTACCCTTCACTTGGGCCTACACCAAGTGAAATGTTACACTACACAAAGTAATGTAACTATCTTCAATATCTTGAGGTGTACCCTTTTTCGCGGGCTTCGCAATTACTTGAATGTTAACACCAGGGCTCGGGTTCTTCCTCACAAACTCATCCTTGAGTCTTTGATGGGTCTGCTGCACACACCTGCGACACGCCGAACGTTCGACAAGCGACAAAATAGAAACCGCGCACGACAAAATAGAAACCGCGCGGGACACACAAAACGACTACGTTACACACGACTAGCGATAATTCGCTATTGACTTGACACACACACTCGACATCATGACCCATCATTCACACACTATTATAAGCATGAAATATATATTTATTTCATGCACTCATTCCATTCCATGCACACACGCATGCATGCACACGGACAACATGCCGAGTGCAAACCGTAGGGTTGCACCAACAAACTCCCCCTCGGATTGTTGGCCTTAGGATCTTGCTCTCTTAGTTCAGAGCCATCCCAGCCTGCTTGCAACACTTCCAATGCTGCTGCTCCACTAGCCTCTTGGTCATCATGTCAGCTGGCTGCCCCGTGGTCTTCACGTAGCGCAACTCTACTTCACCCGCGGTTACCATGCTCCTCGTCCAATGCCACTTCACCCTCATGTGCTTCGTGAGTCCATGCAACACAGGGTTCTTAGCCAGAGCAATTCCACCCTGGCTATCACAGTACAGTGGGGTAGGTCCTTGCTGCTCCTCCCCCAATTCAGCCAACAAACGCCTGAGAGAAGTTGAACGAGAATGGAATGACTAAGTGAAAGTTGGGTACAAATGCAAACCCTAGAAAGCTGTACCCCATATGTGCTACCCCACTATAGCCTACAATAGCTATGTCATATATATCTGACACACCCCCATAGGCAAAGTGGGGGAGAACAAGGGGTCACAAGACCAGTCAAGCAAAGCAAAGCAAAGCAAGCTCAGGGTGGATCACAAAGTCACCACACAGTCCGAGCACAAGGTCAAGGCCACAAGGCCAGTTCATATGCAGGAGTGCACATATATATATAACACTAAACAAGCAAGAGCAGGTATATATATATGGAAGAGTACAAGTCAGATCACGAGGTGAGCAAGTGAGGTAAGACATGTACAAGTCCCAGCTGAGTGCAGAAGCGCTGATGATCACAAGGCGGAAGTGCCTTGGTGAAAACATCAGCAGTATTGGCCTCAGAGGCCACGTACGCTAGTCGCAACTGACCACGCTGCTGTAGCTCATGAGCAAGAAAGTAGCGGAGAGCAATGTGCTTCGTTCTGTGCTCCAAGCGCTGCTCTCGACACAAGGCCAGCATGGCCTTGTTGTCTACGTACAGCACTGGAGGAGAACGAGGCGGCTCTCCAAGGTCAGTCAGCAGGTAGGTGAGCCAGCGAAGCTCCTGAGCAGCCATGGCCCCGGCGTAGATCTCAGCCTCACAACTGGAGCCGAGAACAGAAGACGAGCGAGTAGCCCGCCACAAAACAGAGCCGGAACCAAGACTGAAGGTGTAACCCTGTGACGACCGCTGAGTAGCCTGGTCGTCAGCCCAAGAAGCGTCCGCGTGCCCAGTGAGGACCACTGGACTCCGCCCTCCAAGCACTAGCCCCATGCCCGACGTACTGCACAAGTAGCGCAACACCCTCTTCGCTGCAGCCATGTGCTCTGGTCGGTGTCTCCCAGGAGCAACATAGCGTGCAAGAATGCTAAGAGGGTATGCAAGGTCAGGTCGTGTGCAGGTCATCAGGTACATGAGGCAGCCAACAAGCTCTGGGTACGGGCCACTCGACTCTACGGACTCATCCGAAGGCAGAGCTGAGAGCGAGTGGCGAGTAGACAGAGGAGTGGCCTGAGGCGAGGAGTACGTGAAGCCGAAGCGCTGAAGGACCTTCTGCACCATGTGTGACTGAGTCAAGGTAATGGTGCGTCGTGCTCTGTCCCGAGTGATCTGCAAGCCAAGGTGGCTGCGCAGTTCACCCAGGTCTGTGCACGTGTGTCTCTTCTGCAGCTCGGACTTCACGTAGGCGAGTCCAGCAGTGTCCGCTGTGGCAAAGACCAAGTCGTCAACGTACACGAGGATGTAGAACGGCGGCAAAGAAGTGTCGGTGCGCAGAAACAACGACGGGTCAGCAGTAGAGGGAGCAAACCCAAGAGCCGCAAGCGTAGTCCTTAGTGTGTCGTGCCACTCACGCGGTGCCTGGCGGAGACCGTAGACTTGCCGTCGGAGGCTCCACTGGGTGCCAGGAGGGAAAGTCCCAGTGAAGCCAGGTGGACGGCGCAGCCAGATCTCCTCGTGCAGGCTACCCTGCAAGAAAGCAGTGCTGAAGTCAAGAGAGTGGAGCTCGTAGTCGCGTTGAGCGGCTATGTGGAGCAGCACTGGAAGAGTGGTCATCTTCGGGGTGGGAGAGAAGGTCTGAAAGTAGTCAACTCTCTGCCGCTGACTGAAGCCACGAGCCACGTACCGCGCCTTGAAGACAGGTGGAGAGCCCGACGGCCGCTTCACCCTGAAGATCCACATGCCACTGACGATGTTCGCCCCAGGAGGGGGAACCGCGTCAACGTAGGTGCCTGTGGACTTCCAGGAAGCCATCTCTGCCTCCATAGCTGCCTGCCACTGAGAGGAGTAGGGACCCTCTACGGCCTCCGCGTAAGAGCGCGGAGTCGGGATGTCAAGTGCATCCGGGTCTCCCTCAGGGGCAAGTAGTACGGACGCGAGATGAGGTGAAGCAGCAGCCAGACACTGGAACTCCTCCTGCCTGTCCTCAAGGACGTCCGTGCCAA